ATATATATATATATATATATATCATTTTAACACATACGTGTTGACATGTCAACACAAAACACGCAGGCATCTCTTGTAGCTGTCGCTCCTGATCTCAGGATTTCGTCTGTCTTCGGAAAAATTCAATCACATCTTTGATCGATCTTTCGTGAAATGGATCAATGTAGACAGATCGAAAAAAATCACACAAGCCACGTACGCAGTGTAAAATTCGCAGAAGAAATCGTTAAGAAACATTGTGGAAGCGATCGGAATTCGATAAAAATTTAATTTAAACATCGCTAGTCGAACGTGCGTGAAATTGAGCATGCGATAATCAATTAATGCGGGTAATAATTGTGATTAGTTGAGTACGAACGGTAATCAAATTGCGCTGCCAAAGAAAAAGTTGTACTTCGTAGTACTGTAACTGGCGAAAAACAGCTTGCTATTTTTTGTCATAAATTTGATCTTGCTTGTGTTTCGCGCATTGTCCATTTCGGAAAAAAACATTTTAAATTTGTAGCAATCGTCGTATTCCTTCATCCAAATTAACGAAAATTATTCGTTATCAAGACATTCGCTGCGAGCATTCGGCATCGATTTTACCTTGGAATAAGATTTTATCTCAAAACAAGATCTTTGTTTAGATTTGTTTGCGAGCAAAGGTATAATCTCGCCGATAACATAAAAGGTAAGAAGCGAAAATTCGAATATGCTATTTACTGGCTGTACAAAAAATATTCGTACTAGGAACATATTTCCCCAAAAAACTTTATTTTTCAAAAGTAAACATTAATTAGCAATTTATTAATAAAGAATAAAACAGATCATACAATATATTTCTGAAAAATTATTTTTTACCTAAAAAGAAATATTGTAATAATTAAAATATATTATTTTAAAAATAAGTGAAAATAAAAGATTTTATTGTTCAGCACAAGAAGTATACTATATTCAAGAAATTTAGGTTCTAAGTAGGTTCTAATTTTATTTTTCAAGATATACATGTAACCGTGAAACATTTATCCGTTTACATTCACTTTCAGAAAAACATTTACTTGTAAATTTACATATATAATTAGCATATCCGTTTATTAAAAACGTTGCTCCAAATATATGTGTTTTAAGTCAAGATCTGGTATTATATATTTAAATGAGAATACATTTACACATATATTTAGCATTTCTATAAAAATCATCTTGAGAAATATTTTAATGTCTTTTTTATAAAATTAAAAATCGATTTTATTTTTTCTTTTTGCTTTTCTTTTCTTATAGTTTAACATTTTAAAATGCACTTTAAAATCAACGTAAAGATTTACTCGTAGAAATATTAGTTTATTAAAAACGTTTGTCCGAATACACTGTTTTGAATACAATGTTATTTTATGTACATATTTTTTCTGGTTTTACTGTACTCAAACATTTTTTTTACACCCAAAAAAAATTTTCAATTTTTCCAATCCCTCACATTAAGATGATTCCATAATAAAAGGATAAACATTTATTATAAAAACGTGAAAATGTTCGAAAAAACATTTTTCATAGATGAATATCTAAATATACGTGTAAATGTATTTTCGTTTAAACGTATAGTAGCAAGTTCTACTTAAAACACGTATATTCGAAAAAACGTTTCTAATAAATGAATATATTAATTATACATGTAAATGTGTTTTCGTTTAAGTTAGTAATAGTAATATATGTATAATAGCAAACTCTATTTCTAAGATCATTAGCATGTTATTTTTTTGTATTCATTATATATATATATATATATATAGAAAAATATAATTTGATTTCATTCATTCGTTTATTTTCAAACACCACGATGTTTTTCTTCTTCCACGACGACATGCTACGATACGGCCAATAGCAAAAGCACCACGATGGATTACAAAATACCTGTCGACTTGTCGATGTCTTATTTGCGAGCGATTCAAAAGATACCGAGAGATACCGCCGGTGAGAAGTTTAGTTGGATAGGAAGATTGGCTTTGCATCAAATCAGCGAAGATATTGAACAATTTCCGTCAGAATTGCTATCTCTACTTCATGGAAACCGTCATCAAGAAAAAGAGGCATAAGGACATAACGTCAGCGCTCAAATGTGACGACTTGACAATAATAAACCGGGCTTTTAAGACCACTTGATTTTTCAATGGCAGCTACAAGGGGATCGTCGCATACTTTTGCGAACATCTCTTTCCTTACGTTTCGTAAAGATGAGAACGCGTATCGTGAAGACACTCGAATATAAATTAAAGGATCTGATTTTTGCACAGCAAATGTTCATACTGTAGTCTATTTATGAACTGCTTACCCATTGTGCCACGACTTTTATATGCATACGACTTTTGCTTATAACACGATCGTAAAAAAAGAACTCGTGCTGCCTGCATATTTTATTAAACAGATATTCCGCAAAAATCTGGATTTGGCAGTGCGTTTTCTCAAATTATTGAAGATTATTTATATATTGAAGAATATTATACGATACGCACTCCATTTGTAATTGGCATCAGTAAATAGCAATCTTTACTGCCCAAATTAATAAAGAAGCGACCGGAAGATTTCGTAGAATTATATGGGATTCATGAATCGGATATTATAGGATTTATCTCTGAGCAATACACGTGCTGAAATATTCTCTGAAAAAAAGGCTAAGCAACATTAAAAAAGCCGCGTATATACATCCACATATTATCACTCAAACAGATCAACGAGCATTTAATAGAAAAAATATTTCTGGATTTATTCCAAAGAAGAATTCCTTCAACACAGACAACACGCTCAAATAGTATATTATCCATATAATAAAAAATACGAACTACTCTATGAATCGTACGAATCCAAATATGATAAATATCTTCTCTTTGAAACAAAAAATATAACGGAAAGCTTGTTAAAATTGTTACCTATCGAGGAGCGGATGAAATGAGTTAGACTTATGTTCGAGAAAGTGAGTTCGCATTCTTACGAGGCAAATTGGATTTCTTATTTACCTGTTAACGAAGACATCATATCTCAAGGAACAAATAAATAAAACTGAAAATGAAGAGAAAAGATTTAAGTTAATTGAAAAAAAGATGGAAAGTTTAAAACGAATAATAAAGATGACGATTATCCGATGATGACCTTGATATGACCTTCTTGAAGAGACATAAGAACGAAAACCGTAATGTATTTCAAAATCTGTTCAATTTTCTTAACAGATACTATTCATGTGATTTTAATGAAAAGCTCTCCCTTATAATAGAAATTATCCAATTGTTTTATGTAAATAAAATGTATATAAAAAATGAATTTGTAAAATATGTTCCAGTTTATGGTGTATTTCAGACTTAAATACAATATGCCAATGAAAGAATTGATCGACATATGTATAGAAAAAAATCACCTAGCTATAACTTCTCCAAAAACTTCTATATATACGACTTGGAGTCACAAGACAATGAAAGACAATGGCTTGTAATATTCTTAAATACAATTCAAAAAAAGAATTTTAAAGATTTCAATGAAAAAAAACATATTTTTCAAAATTGTCCAGATAGTCACAGTCAATAATATTCATTCATTCAATCGCATGTGAATAAAATCAATGTAGAAAAATTGACAATTAGAGATCCTTGGTTAATGGATGCCGTTTTCGAAATATTATGTTTGAAAAACGTTCTAAAAAACGTTCTCAAGAATATCGGAATGATTACTCGGATGATCTTAAAAAACGTTCTTTATATAGAATTCTCGTTTTTTATGTAATAATGATATGCACCATCTACTGCAATCGCATGAACCAAAATTATGTTGCAGTTGGTTTCCATCTGAAAAAAATATCACATTTGTAAGCTTGAAAACACTCGCTTTAAAACCAGATCCACAAAATATATAGGAGAATTAGGAAAAATATTTAAAAGTCAGCATGAAAAATTACTATCGCAAATAGATGCATCATTTCATTAGGAGTACTTCATTAGGAGTTGATACAAAGACCTCCTCATTAAATTTGCCGAACACTGCATGAATTATATACACGACAAATGCGAAGATAAAAAGATAAAAGATCGTCTACTATTATTAGCATTACTATCTTAGCCATTTTACTTCACGATGAGGCAGTGACAAAGTTAAGCGATTTTTTCGCATCCACGGAAATGAAGGTAGATATTAGTCATCCAAATGCTAAAAATAATTACAAGATAGTGAAAAATTTACCATTGAGCATGAGACTTTCCAAACCGCCAATTCATCTTGATCTTATAATTAGATTATGCATAGGAGATTACTTGTCAATAGCTATGATGATACTAACGAATATAAATAGACAAACTCCTATGCTCAAAATAATATCATGCGTGAAAAAATTGACGAATATGCGCGTGAGTGTACAAAAGCATAGGATTAGGCTAATATTCTTAATATCTGTCGTGCAACAACTTGATCTCTATCAAAAAATGTTGTCGCCTGAGAACCATTATTCAATACAACAAGTTTTGTTCAAAGCAACCCAACAATTATTCTTTTCAAATCCAAAACCCGAAACTTGGTCCTTATATTATCTGTGTCATCGATGAATCCTACCTCTATTGAAAAAAACACAAATACATTACTTGTTCTAGATATAATGTTAGAAATGATAAATGATGTATTTGAATGCGTCATAATGCGTTACATATAGAACCATTTTATCGTTATATAAAAAATCACTGCAAGTTCATATTCATTCCCAATGAATACATTAAGAAATATTTCGATCTGTGATTAAAAAAAAATAGACAAGTTTTGAAATGGAATCGAATAAGATAAAAAAATATTACCCGGTTGTTGACAAAATAAATATTTTCAATGTTTTATCCGAAGAATCGCTCAAAAGCATAATTCAAAGCATAATTCATAATATTTATTTCATTGATAATTTTGATGTGCGTAAAACAGTGTCTTTTATAGTATCTTTTATAATATCATGTCTTTTATAATATCATGTCTTTGTAGAGTAAAGATAAATACATAAAACATACTTCAAAATATTCATGTCTTTCATGAAGCAAACACAGCGACCACTTATTGTACTTATTGTGACAAATTTCAATCTCTTAAAAAATATAACTATCAAAATTATGCGTTCATTCAAAGATATTTTCGTTATTCGTGTTTGCAAGTATATTTACTCTAATACATCTATTAATCCACAAGTCACCGATAGTTTGTAAATTTTATTTTCATCTGTCTTGTCACCTGAACAAGATGCAACGTCTTATTTGCTATTAGTATATAGAAGAATAGGATATACAAAGAAATTTCAAGAACGTTTGCAACGAATTTTTAAGGACGAAAGGACACTGGCTTGAAAATTGGCTTGAAAATTGCTCAGCACTTGTCCGAATTAATCAATATTTTCTCGCCACTATTAATCACGTTAATGACCGAAATTCTCCAGCGCTTTGTTTGCAAGATATCCGATGATGAATATGTAAACTGTATTATTAGCGTCATAGAATTTCTTGTTGAAATTGGTAATACAGATTCCTATTTTAACTGTGAAAATGTTACTGTCGCTGGAATATCGAAGAATAAACATATGACAAGATACTGTCAACTCATTAAGAAATTCCAAGAAATGCTGCAACTCCAAGGAGCTGTCGAGATTGTTTTATATCAACATTTTTTTTAATATTAATTTTTTCAACATTGATTAAACAAATCAAAGAAAATAGCGAGTGAATTTATATATGTATTTCCAGCAATATTATCAATGTTTTGTTATTGTTTATTTAATTTATTGTTTATAATTAATTGATCATTGAATTGCAAGTGTAGTTTTATATATTGTACGTTAAATTATTAATGCGCAAGTCTTTTTTAATGAAATAGTCGCGAATTCTTATAAATATTTTATACCTTTTATTTAGAGGGATGCCTAAAAAGTTTTTCAATAAACATTTAAAATATTTCTCGAAGTAAAATAAATGCATATTATAATTTAAAAGTCATATGAAGTAGATATTGTATAAAGATATGCGCATATAATTTTTTTGTAGCGATTATATATATATATATAAGCGTAATAAGTAAATAATAAGTAAAAGCGTAACGTGAGTTGCATGATAAAGGTTTTTTTAAGCAGTTTAAACATATGTCATCATTATTTATCTCAATTATCAATATTTTGCGAAGAATATATCCATTATTTGTTTGCTTGCTTAAAAAATACTGATAATAGATAATATAATTATATTAAATAAGATTTGAGATAAATGATGATGACATATGTTTAAACTGCTTAAAAAAATCTTTATCACGATAACTTTTTTCACACAAATTCTCTAGTATCTTTTCTGGAATACTTTTTTTACGCGATTTAAAGATTTCAAAGGAAATAAAGAAAAAGTAATAGAAGTTCTTTTTACTGTACAATAGATTGATTTTCGAAACTTTTAAACTAATTTCTATAATAAATCGGACGATATTTGCGTTCCTATACTAGCATCGAAAAAATAATACACTATTAAATCAGAAAATTAAATATATAAATTGATTCATCAATTGATTTTCCTCGATTTATATCAATTGATGTATTAACGAACATGAGGGCAGAAAATTCTATTGTAAATTCTTCTACAAATTATAAACTGTACTGATCTTGATGAAACGAAATGAAGAGAAATTGATATTAAGTAAGTAAACTGAAAATAATTAAGTAAGTAAACTGAAATAAATATTTTATCTTTACTAAGACAAAATTATCAAATCATAAAGTGTAAATCATTATTATGAAATCATAAAGTGAGTGTGCAAGTCATTCATTATTGTAGTTAATGTAATAGAGGGAGACGAGGAAAAAAATAAGAAAAGAGAAATTTAAGATCCTAAGGTATGTAATTTTGAATGTGGAAGAATATGAAAAATAGTTGCGACGTGTTAGAATTATATAAATAAGACTTATTTTACTGATGCAATAGTTTTCAATTGCAAAAATAACACTAGTCATTATACCAGTAATAATGACCAATTATTCATCAAAAGAAAAAAGAACATTAGCTTAGATGATTATCGTATTTCTGCAGATATTAATGTACTTACGTGATGCATCAAAGCCAGTGATAAAGTCAGGACATGATATATAAGCTGTTGATCCTGCTGGAGTGTTCGGCCAACAGGACCATCCATCGAAAGTAAATCGACAATATGGTTCTGAAATAAAAAATTAAACAGGAGATTGTAACAGGATAATAAATCGATGATTTCATAAAACACACAATTTGCTAGATAGTATTTAACAGTCATTAACAGATTAAATCGCGATATATAAGAAATTGTGAAGCAATATAATGAATCATAAAAACATTATAAAGAAAATATCATAAATAGCACCGCGTAAGTTGATTGCGGATAAATTTTCTCACGCAATATATGACGGTCGTAAAAAAGACAACTCGTAACATATTAGATATGGGAAAAAGTTCGTGGCGTTTTTCCCATTAGATAACATTAAAAAAACGCCACGAACTTTTTCCCATACCTAATATTACTCATCGCTAAAGAACTATAAACATATATGCCGACAAAAGGCACATTTCTTACATATATTTCTTACATGATATTCACGACATACATAAAATCTTCTCGTTTAGGAGGATAGAATAAATTCAAAGCCAATCCGCATTTTTACAAATTGTTATAAGTGCACATAAAATTTGACAATTTTAAAAATATATTAGCGTATATTATAAAATAAAATACATTCTATCATATAATATTATATAATTGAAATGGCATTCATCAAAACATGGAAATATCATATTTTAATACATATTCTTGTTCGTTTTCTTTATCGTCATATCCGTACGTTTATATACATATAAACAATTCATAAATGAATAAGAAGAGCATAAAACCCTATATATATAAAAGGAGAACTAACTTTAAACTATATTAATGCGAAATCACGTTAAGGGATTCATCGTGGTTATAAGCTCGAGAAAGTTCGCATTTGCTCACAAGATCTAAGTTTCGAAGAAACGTTGATAGTATGTATATTTCATCTAAGACCTCTTCCATCAACTTTTATTGAAAATAAATCACTTTCTTCCTTTCCCCTCGTGTGACTATAGTCTGAGAAAATGGCACATCCGCGATATTACAAAAAGAATGGCTGAAAAAGCTGTATGAAATATTTTCCACAGTTCTACAAACATAGATAACTGCGCATTCTGTTTTCTGGTTATCTCGAATGTCAATGTCCGATAGATTTAACTATAAATATTTAATTTGTATCTTCTGGTTGAATCTACTAAGAATTCCAATTAATATAATAAAATATTTTTTCAGTGTACGTATACATCAAATTCAATAAAAAATTGTCTCGATGTCTTGCAATTTGAAATACAATAAACATAAGTTTTTTAATCTGTTCTATATAGTAAAATAAAAACATAAAATTTATTTTTTAATTAATTACAAACAAATTTTATTTTAATTTTAAGATTAAATTATTTTATTAAAAAATCTATTAAATAATACTGAAAGAAAAAAATAATTTATGACCAATTATTTATCTGTTATTAAATTTTTGTGTTACATCAGAATTCATTCTAAAATTATTAAACAATTTTACTACGCATGAAAAACGTTATTATAATTTTTTAAAATAAAATGTATACACATAATATAATTGCAAATAAAAGAATACTCTAAAAATTATTTTTATGTAAAAAATAAAAAAATTTATGAAAAATACAATTATTCAACTAAATTCATTTCGCATTATCTATGTAATATCATTCTAATGTATGTATCGATGTTCATGAAAACTTATGGTAAGTGGACATTCATATTCTAAGATATATATATATTAGATTTTAGAATGTGATATCCACTTTGTTTCTTATATCTTTATATATAATTTTTGTCTGTATATATTTATGCGCAGTTGCTGCTTTAAGTTCATTTTGCATCATATCTATACGCACATAAAGAAATTTGCATGAAAAACAATAATTAAATTTTGAGCATTTTATAAAAATATTAGAAAGAAATAAAAATATTAAGTTCAAACATTTTACGGACTAAATATTAGTACGTAAATTTCAAAAGTTATCACAAAAAAAATGTCAATATTAAAATAGCATAAAACTTATCGTTTAATCTGTTGCATTTTGTTCAATTATATATGATCATAAAGTATTTTAATCTAATGTAAATCTATTTCCTAATAAAAAACTAGTATGCGATAATAATTAGCTGATAATGATGAACATAAATAAAAATACAGTAATTTAACCGGAAAGAACATTCTTATGTACGTGCAAATATTATTATGATGTTTGACATTATATGTATACATATAATGTATACATGTGTAGTGATATAAATACGCATAAATATGCAACGAAATTAATCAAAAAGCTTTTGACAAAATATGGATTATAATAATTTAATTATATGTAACAATTTGAATTAATGTTACATTTTAATTAATTAATATTACAATTTAATTAATTAACAATTTAATTAATTGTAACATTTTCTACATTTATTAGATTTTTATTTCTTTAATTATTTTTAAATTACTTTTTATATTTCTTTAATTTATAATGAATTTTTAATTAATTTCTAATTTTTTTAATT